TTTATTATTATTTGGTCTTAAAAACGGTTATTTTTCGGGATAAAAAATGAATGTGTTGTATAAAGTATGAATGAACAACAGCTTAATGTGAGTTATAATAGTAAGTTTATTATTATTAATTGTTATAAAATATTATTTTTTGTTCAACCTTGTTTAACTTCAACACAACCATTCAATTAAATCGTTCATTCATTTTTTCAAAGAAGTCATTGTAGTCTTTTCTATTCACTTGGTTGATTCAATGAGTCACTTTTTGTTCAGTATTAAAAGTGACTTATGCAATAAATGAAAATAAAGTAAAGAATAAATAAATTGTTAAAATGTTAGACATTCAGTAAATAAGTGATAATAATTAAACGTATTCAACAATAAGAGATAAATCAATATAAAGAACAAACTTTTCTTTGGCTCGGCTAAGCATTAACAAATGAGACAACTCTGAATGATTAATAAAGAGTTTCATATTTTATAGTTTTTTCTATTTTATTCAAAAAAACAGTGTGTCTATTAATAGTTGGTGCCTGGTTTTTGAAAATAAACCAACATATCCTCCAAAACCCCGATTATTTGGGGATTTTTCTTTAACAAGGAAACTTTATACCAAAAATAATATGGCTTAATTTAGTCTGGTTACTGTTTTATGATTTGGTCCTGGTTTTTCCTGTATCTGTATATATATATTTAGATATATTCCAGGTATTACAGTAGTGGAATAAACCCACTTAAGTGAGTAAATTTTGTGAAACTTTGGTTGAACTTTAAGCCAAAATAGAAAAAACTAAAGTACCACCCTTTATAAATAGGAAAATGGGTTTGATTGGGTCTTTTCTTTGTTTTTTAAGAAAAAAGTCAATTTTGCTCGAGAAGAAAAAATATTAAAAATGGTTTTTTATTTTAATTAAAATAAACTCAAAATATAGCTTTTGTTTTTTACATAATTCGTTTTGAAAAGTATTTTCTTCTAACAAAAAGAAGCTCAAAAAAGGTTCAAAAAGTGAAAAAAGAACAAGTAAGAGCACAATGGACTAGCTTGAAAATAAAAGCAGTATTGAATTTGTGGTCTTTTTTTGTGCACATTATTTCAATGATTGTTTTTTAACAAATAACATTAAAAAATATTTCGTAACAGTTGTTGTTAAGATTCAAAAGAAAATAATAGAAAGATAAAAAACATAAACAAATGAATTGAAATAAACGAGAATTTAAACAAAAACAATAACAAAAAAAACATTTAAGGAACAATTAGAGAAAAAACGGGATAATACGAAGAATTGAATTTTTTGGATTGAAATTGAATTTATTATTTTTAATTTATAAACTTCAAACTGGGTATTTTTAAATTAAACTTTTGAGCTTTTGTTGAAAACTGTTTTAAAGAAACATTTGGATCAAAAAATAAGTTACATTTTGTGTAAATCGTAAAATGTGGTTTTTTACACAAAAATGTAAAAATTGTACACTTTTTGGTCAAATACCAAATGAATTCTGGATTCGACAAGTTTTCCACTCAAAGCATTAAAAAAACAGTGTTTAAACTTGAAAAGGACTTAAAAATCATAAAGTCTTCACCAGAACAAGTCAACATATAGCCCAAGTTTTGCAAATGTCATGAAATAAATATAAATTAATTGTTTTTTTTTGTTTTTTTTGTTATAAAAATGTTATTAAAATTATATTTTTAATAAAAAATAATTTGTTATTATTAAAATATTTTAGTCTCATAACATAATTATCAGTTTT